CACTGTATTAGGGTAGAGAATTAAAATTGCTCCTATATGACACAATACATATTATGAACATTTATCTCATCTCATTTTACCATAGCCTCATTGTAGTGGGAAGTATGCTTTTTCATATAAGAATCTTCGTTACATAAACATAGTTAATAGATTAGTATTTACTATTTTAAACTTTGCATTTTTTATTTGATAATAGTTTAGAAATTTAATTTTGATTACATCTCAACAAGTTAAATTAGTGACAGTGATTTCAATTGACTTTCTGTGAATTTCCTAGCAAATTTATCATTTTCAATTTAAACCTTTCCCGTGGGATCGATATTTAGGGCTTAAATAGAAAGTCCATATTACTTGATAATGATGAGCATACTTGCGTAGAATCTGAATATTAATTGATTATACTTATTTAAATTTTACACAATCTATCGCAATAAAAAAATTGAACCAAGTTTTTTGCGCCGTTGCCGGGGAAGGTAACAGTTAAATTAAAAAGTTTTGATAATTAGGAAATTTAGAGATAAAAATATAAAAAATACAACATAAAAAAGATTAAAAAATCAAAAATCCAAAGAGAAATATTTTTATTAGAGTGTTTATTTTACTTTGCTTACTTTATTTGTTTATGTGAAATATTGGATCTGAAGGTTTAGGATCTTACAATTCAGAAATAGAACGTACTATTATAAAAATTCAAAAACAACAAAGAGAAATTAAAATTTTACAAAAAATGACGAATAACTTAGATAATCCAATAAATGAAAATCGACGAAAACCTTTAAAAGATTATGCGAATCCAACAATAGATGAACTTCACTTGACCATTCAAAATCCTGATGTTGTTGCTAATTCATTTTAACTTAAACTTGCTATTATCCAGATGGTACAAAATAATCAGTTTGGAGGATCACCTACTGAAGATCCTAACTTACATCTTGCTAGTTTTCTTGAAATGTGAGCTACATTTAAATATGACAGAGTGTCTAATGATGTTGTTAGGCTTCGACTTTTTCCTTTTTCATTAAGGGATAAAGTCAAGGCTTGGTTAAATTTGTTAGCACCTGAATCTATTAGAACTTGGGGAGAACTATCACAAAAATTATGGGCTAAATATTTTCCACCCTCAAAAACCGCTAAGCTTAGAAATGATATTACATCTTTTTGTCAGTTTAAAGGGGAATCGATATATGAAGCCTGGGAAAGATTTAAAGATCTTCTTAGAAAGTTTCCACACCATGTTTTACCAGATTGGTTAATAATTCAAACATTTTACAATGGATTAGTAGGATCACCTAGATCTACAATAGATGCTGCTGCGGGTGGTTCATTAATGATGAAGCATATTCTTTAATTGAAGAAATGACTACTAATAATTTTCAATGGCCCTCTGAAAGGGTAAATCCTAAGAGAGTAGCTAGTATTCATGATTCTATGTAATGTCTATTTTCACATCTCAAATTG